GATCATTGTGATATGCATGCTGTCACACCTATGCATGCTATTTCTCACCAGGTACACGAGCATGTCGTGTATCCCTCTGTGCCTCTCGTTTTGCAGGATCCCCCTCTCACGCCTTTGGCGCCACTCCCTTCAACCTCACCGCCAAACAAAAAGATCAAAGAGGAGTGGCGGCCGAAACAGCAGGTGGCTAAGCCTGCACGGAAGAAAGGTCGAGACCACTATGAGCTGGTCCCACCTCCTGCACCACGACCACCCTGGCCATCTGAGTACTCACTCGCTTGCATCCTGGCGGATGGCCAGGTCGAGCTCACCAATGCTGGTGGTCGCACCCGTCAGGTGCATGGCCACCATTTGAAACTGTACCTCAAGAGCGATGTGGATCCACTCTTGGAGGCACCTGTTCCTGCACCCCTCTGAGTATCCACCATGGGCGTCCAGCTAAAAGACGGTAAAGAAGCGCTTGAGGGGAGGCAACCCCACCATGGTTTGTTTTCTTTTTCTTTTGGATGATGTACTATTGGGCTGACCATTGGACCTAACGTATTGTGTTTGAGTTCTTCTGTTCCCTTTAGCTGTGCCTTGTCCCGAATGGTCCCATTTCCAGTCCTCTTCACTCAGACTGGTCCCCTTCCAGTCTCATGCAGTCCGTGCACACCGGTAACATCGCTCCCCTTTTCCTTCCCTCTTCTCCATTGAGGGCAATGTCGATCTTAAGTGTGTGTGTGGGGGGGGGGGGGATGTTTCTCTTTTGACTGCATTAGATCTGTTTGTGTGCTTGGAGCCTAGTCCACTGTCAAAATTTCGATTTGAGGGCTCCAAGTACGTGTTTCCTTGCAAATTGCCTGCTCAGTATGCTTTGAATTGACAGTCTCTATAGTAATGTGCAACCTAGGGAGATAGTGTAGCACTATGGAGGATGTTGAATTATAAAATTTTTCCTATCTGCTGTGCCAGTTGATTTTGTGAATTAGTGGAGCTAAGACCGTTGAATTCATGTGGTAATGCTGACTCTGTTTGGATTGTGTTATGGACTCGTGTATCGAACAGGGTGCTCATGTGAAAAACAGAAAGCAGTTGGTCCTCCATGTCGAAATCATTAAATCTTAAACATGGGGTAAGCCCAACATGTGTGGCACCGTTCATTGCATAAAATCGGATTTTGGAAGAGATTTTAGTGATCCTTAGTGGGGTACTCCTACAAGGTGAAGCTAAGTTCTCTCTAGTACAAGTAAAACTTCCACCCGTTGAACGGTTTGCCTACTCGCGGATGTGTTTTTAAGGGCACGAATAGAGCTTACGACCCCCCCTTAATTTCATTGACCCTCCACAAGAGTTGAGGAAAAGGAGTTAAAAGAAGTACTCTGGCGAGCGCCAGATGTACAGAAATTGCTCTTGCTCGACTAATAAGGGTCGACCGTGCAAAAGACTGCAGTTGGAACCCCCGCCAAGTGAATGAAAAGAAAAAACAAAAAAGTAAAATGAAAGTGAAAAAGGGGTTCCAACGGTGAAATGAAGTGAAAGAGCACCCCGGTACAACGAGTCCTTGGTTGTGAATGGCGTGAGTCCCTTTATCCATGAACTGACTGTCTTACTTCTACTTCTTCTCATGATCCTGGCTTGAGTCTAGTACTCGCATTGAGAGAGATAGGGAACGTCTTAGAAGACCAGTTGACCTCGTAAGCTGCTATATGATCTAGGAAATCCTCTACCGATGATCGGGGTTGTTTGTTGCTATAGAGGTCTAGAGAGTTGCATTGGTTTGAGTTAGGTTTGCTTGGGGACAAGCAAACGGTTAAGTGTGGGGGAGTTTGATAGACCATTGATTGCACATGTTTTTATCCCTATTCTTGAGCCATTTGAGATGTTGATTCTCGTGTTTTAAGCCAATTTCACGCTAGGTTGTGTGTTTATGTCATATTTCAGGACTTAGTGTTGGCATAGAGGCGAAGAAACAAGTTTCGGGTCGAAAGGAGCAGGTTTGGGTTGACGTGTGTTGGAGGAGCAAAATACCCGGCCATGAGCAGAAATACCCGGCCGGATATTATTTGGAGCAGACCGGGGAATTCATGTTTCGGAAGTCTGAGAAGCAGAAGGGGGCCCGGGCAGTAATCAAAAATCCTGGGTCGGGTATTCTTGACCCTGACCGGGGATTAGCCTCTGTTCCCGGTGCGTTTTGAAGATACCCGGTCTCCACCCAAAATACCCGACCGGGTATTCAGGCCGGGGATCACGACAGACAACTTCTTAAGGGAAAAGAAGGGCAAAAGTGAAGGGTTCCTAGTTTTAGAGAGAAAAAGCGATACCTAGAGAGAGAAAGTGACAAACCTGATTCTGCAAGTGTCCTTGATCGATCTCCATCACCATTGGCTTGAGCTTGGAGAAGAGCTGATTGAGTGCCAGAAGCAGATTCTCATCCTTCGCAGTATGGTTTCCGCATTTGAGCTAGATTTCTCAACTCTCTCTATGGAGTAACTTTCTTATTCACCTGGGTATGAAGAACCCTAGATTTGTATGTTAGGTCTGATTGTATGAACCCAAATACAGATTCAGTGGTATGATTATGTTCAATTGAGGTTTGGTTTGTTGAATGGCATGAATCCTGATCAAATTCCTATTGTTTCTGCTTTAACCTAGAAAGAGAATATTTGCCTAGGTTGATAGAGCACCCTTGATTGAAGGTAGTGAATTGGAGACTTTAGTCGAGGAGTCAATTCACTATTCTGTACCGAATTTACTTCGGTAGTGGAGGTTTGGTTCGTTAGGGCCTCAATCTGTTTACTCCGGTGGAGGTTAGTCGCTCGCTGGGGACTCAGATTAAGAGGGTCTAGAGACCTTTAGTCGAGACTGCAGACTTTTTAAGAACCTCCCTCAGTATAACTATCATTGAACTTGAACTTGGTAAATTACAATCCGGCTTAACTGCAGTCTAGGGGGAACCATATCCGGGTGACCTCTCTCGACTTGAAAACAACCTTTTTACTTGCTTTGCTTGTTTGCTTGTTTGGACCTTTACTAAAGTTTCACTGCTAAATAATAAGAACTCACGGAGTAGTCATCACATCTAGGACCCGAGTTGACATTAAAACCCAAACCCGCTATAATACGCTTTAGGAGGTGGTTACACTTAGCCATTTTTTAGAGTGACAGTAGGAGCGAGTCACTAACCTTCTCATCTACAAGCCAGCTGCGGATCAACGGGTGATTGACAACAAACTCACCGCCTGTACCGACCTTCTACATCGATTCCGGTTCTTCGCGATCAATTTCATGTGAAGTGCGTGCTTCTTCCCATTCTGGTGACGATTCCTCCACTTCTCAGCCCAACTGGAAGTTGTTTCCATACTCCTCTATCTTTGCTTCTCTCCCGCCGACGAGCAGATCTGGTCGGGGAAGCGTGATGGAGATTGGGTCGGGATATCCATCCGATGTGTTTGCGATTTCCACCCTCCTTCCTGGCGATTCTGGGTTTGGTGGATTCATTGGGCTTTCTGATTTTTTCCATGCCATGATAAAATCTAAAGAAATCAAGAACGAACAACACAATTTGGGATAGGACCCATCGTTTCTGTATTTCTAGAAAATGGTGGTAAACACCGACTCAGCTGCCGAACTAGTTTGGATTAAGAATTTTATCAGGTGTCAGGGAACCATGTGATTATAAATTAGACTTGATCAAAATTTGCCAAAACTTGAAATTCAACATGTTTGACCGACCCTATGTGAAACTCCAATTATTCTTTACTTTCAAACTTTCTATTTGAAAATAAAAAATAGTGAAAGAAAAGAGAAGACTGCAATTCGTCATTTGCACATCACTACTTCGGGAACAAAACCATAGAAAGTCTAAAGGAATCTGGAAATATTTAGGATTGTTTTAATGTTAAAAATAACCAAATGCATCTTTCTGTTTAGTTTTTTACTAACAAATACCAAACGCTTTCCTATAAAATACACTATAATTTAATCATTATAATATCAAATAATTACATAATATATTTGAAATGGTAAAAATTGGACTAATCGAGTTGGTCGAGGTTTAACCATTTATACATTATATTTTAGCTATTAAAATATAAAATAATAACATAATATATGTTTCAAATTAGAAAAACTAGGCTAATCGAGTTGGATTGTAGGTTAACCATTTAACCCTTTCCGTGAGTTGATGAATGGATTGTTCCATTCGAATTAATAACTTTGATGACAAGATGAAAGTTTTATAAAGAAAATTAATTGGCCAACGGACCGAGTAAAAGCTAGCAACGATTGTGAGATGCTCATTTCTCGAAGACTGGAGGGATAAGCGATTTTTTATTTCTAGAATTTGGTTTCTATAAACTTACTCCACATCCTCATATTACTAGAAATAATTTCACAAGGTAAAAGGCAGTGACAGATCCAAATTTTTTACATAGGGGTGTCCTCTCTCAAAAATTTAATTTAATTAAATAATTATTAAATATGAAAGTATATGACTAATAAAAATTAAAATAAAAGTTCAAACGTGTTTCATAAAATAGTAAAATACATTCGATGTTTATAATGCTTAAAAAATATATCTCGGCATATCCTACTAGACAAGGGTATCCCATAATTGGTTTTAATTGTTATGTTTTGAAAATAATTAGGGATAAGAATAACATTTTACTATTATATTTGGATCTAAAACACTATAATAAATGAGTTGTAGTGTAATTGAAAATATGTTTACTAATAGTGAGAGTATCTCAAGTTTAAATCACATAGACTACTACTTAAATATTATTTGTACCAATACAGAACCTACTATAGGAGGTTGATACACCTTTTTCTGAAATTTTAAGGTATCCCACTACCATTTAAATATTTATTTTGCTCATACACAAACTACTATCGAAGGTTGAATAAGATTGATTTTTGATTGCATCATTCATGTTTTTTTTTTTTTTTTTGCTAAAATTCACTATTTTAATCACATATTTCTAAAAAAATTCTATACAAGAATAATCTATACACTCCATTACATTATTAAATTTCTTTAACTCACCTCCGGCCCGGTGCTCCACGCTAGTTTACCATTGAACGCTAACCCGGCCCGTTCTAGAAAAGGCCGAATGGCCGATACTACAGCTAATGTCGATCTTCCCGAAAATGTCCGCTTCCTCTCCCAGACCAAACGACAAACAGAGTCGCTGTTTCATTTCCCCTCGCGGACCTTCGAGGGCGATTCTTGGAATTACTGAACGAAAATAAATAGAACCTCGACGACGGTAGGGAAACGCTTCGTATTTGGTGCGGATTCCAATCCCCCCAATCCCGCTTTCCGCGTCTCTCTCCCTCTCTTTTCTCTTCTCTTTGTTTTCTTAGCGCACACCCAAAACCGCCATTTCTCCGTTCGCCCGCTATCCCTCTCTCTCCTAGGGTTTGGGTTTCCTAGTCGTGTCTACTTTGAAAATCAGGAGAAAACGAAGGGGGAAAACGATGGCCCCAGCACCAACTTATCCGCGCTCTAACCTCCCCAATCTCTCTCTGCAGCAGCGTTCTTCTTCATCCATGGCTTGATTTCTTCTCTATCTTCCCTTTCTCTGGTAATTAATCCTACCCTTCTTGTGAAGCTCTTCGACGATTTACTGTCATTCATTTCTCAGCTGTTGTCCCGGGGTGTTGAAGCGTGGGTTCTAAGTCTGCTATGATGGTTGCTTGTGTCCTTCGTGTTTAATTTAGGGTTTTGAACTTAGGTATTCCTGATTGGAGGGGATCCGCGAGAGCTGTATCCGCTGTTCCTTCTTTGCTGGGTTAGTGAATTTCGGGCTGTGAAGTTGGGTTGAGTACTGTCGTTTCGATTGGACTGAGTGTTCTTGTTATAGTGACTGGCTTGATTTGTTCCGATACTAGTCAGTGGTGCAATTGGAAGATTCTAATGTTCAGCGTCTTCTTCCTTCCTATCGCTTACGGGAGACAGGGTCGTGCACTGTTGCATAGTTGAATTGGTTCGTGCAGATTGTTTTGTACATTTGATAGTGTTGTTGTTTGATTGTTTTGATGATTTCCTCCCTTCCAAATACTCGTAAATCCCAGCTTGTCTCTTAGCACGGCATGCTTAAGTTTGGATTTATTTACTTCTCCAGGGCTTGGAGCTTTGGAATGGAAATGTACAATGTTTCTGGAAATTCAAACACGGAAACATATTTGGTATTTTTCTTGCAGTTCACTGTCTGCCTACTGTTTATCTTTATTCTGCTCTCATATTTCTCTTTTAACTTCCTCTATGTGTGTAATTCTGTTGGTTTGGATTGGTTGGATATTTGCTTCGTTAACCCACTCCCTTTTGATGCATTATAGATTCAGCAAGCTGGAATTGACCCTGTATTGACTTCTCCGGTGTTTGAACAATCTGAAACCATGTACAACGAAGGAGCCCCTGAGTATGTTGTGGATCAAGGAATGTACTATCCTACCGCTACCAACTATAGTTGGTACTGTACAGGTAATTTGGTTGCTGTGTTTTTATTAGAGTGTGCTGATAGATTAATCTATTATATCTAACTTGTTTGTCATGTATTTTTTATGTAATTTAGGATTTGAAGCACCCGGCGAATGGGAGGACCCCCACATGTTTTTTGGTGTAGATGGTTCTGAAGTTCAATATGCGGTGAGTGTTCTTCCTTTGATTGGTAATTGCTGTGTTCAGTTACAATGCCCGACTAATGAATTACTTATTACAACTCCACTTTTACCTTTTCAGGGTGCAGAAACTGAAAATTTACCTTATGTATGTTATACACCTAGCTATGGATATGCACAGTCTCCATACAACCCATACAATCCGTACATACCTGGTGCCATGATGGGAGTGGATGGCTCATATATAAGCTATACCGCGCCTGGTTACCAGGACTCTATTTCCTCAGCTGGTTATGTCCCCGTTTTTGTTCAACCAGACGCTTCTCGAAGCAATTTGGTGGATCCCCTTCCTGATGCCGGTGTTGTATATGCTAATAGTGGACATGGTGGAAGAAGACACGGATCATCTTCTTCAGCCTTCTCTAGGAATCCTTCTAAATCCTCTGGTAATCAGACCAACTCATGGGAAAGACCAGCTTCTGAGGGACCTAGGTCTAACATTGGAAGTAGCAAGTATTCTTTGGTGCATGATAATGTTTCTTCTGGTAGCTATCAAACAGCAACAGCACGTGTGCTTCAGGTAAATATCTGGTTTTCTTCTTTCTTTTACAAAAGAGAAAACACAAGCCTCATGCTTGTAACCATGTTTGTTCAATTGTACATGATTCCTTACCATGGCACTGTTCTCACACATGTTTTGTTTCAATGATCATAACTGTATTGATAACAGAGCAGGAATGCATCTGGACCCAATCAGTCGATTGACATCACCACAAAGGTAAAGGCTCTACCTCAGCGGAATCAGTTGAAACTTGCTTCCCCTGTCAACAATGGCTTCTCTAATTTTGGATCAAATGCTCATGGAAGACCTTACATGGACAAGAATCGATCAAATGCCCATGTTGGCAGAACCCTCAATGACGATGCACTGGGTGAGCAGAATCGTGGACCTAGAACAACCAAATCCAAAACTCAGTTAGCTGTTAAAGCATACACAGCCAAAGTTGGTGATTCTAATGCAGAGGAAAATATCATAATTTCATCTGATCAATACAACAGGGATGATTTCCAAGTTGACTACACTTGTGGAAAGTTCTTTGTGATAAAATCATATAGCGAGGATGATGTTCACAAGAGCATCAAATACAATGTTTGGTCATCAACTCCTCATGGGAACAAAAAGCTGCAGAGTGCCTATGAAGATGCACAGAAGATAGCTGCAGATAAAGCTAGCAGTTGTCCCATCTTCCTTTTCTTTTCAGTGAGCTTTACTTCCTTGATGGTGGCGGACTTCTCACCTATTGAGAAATATGCATAATAAGGAGCTCCATTAATGTGGTCATTTGATGGTGCAGGTCAATGCAAGCGGACAGTTTTGTGGTGTTGCTGAGATGATTGGTCCAGTTGATTTCAGAAAGGATATGGATTTTTGGCAGCAAGATAAATGGTCTGGTAGTTTCCCTGTGAAGTGGCACATGATTAAAGATGTACAAAATGGCAGCTTTAGGCATATTATCTTGGAGAACAATGAAAATAAGCCAGTTACTAATAGCCGAGACACTCAAGAGGTATGCCACCATTTCTTTTTCGGGATAACTGACCTTCAGCCTTACTGCTTATTTAATACTGTGAGATTTCTTCTCGATCAAATACGTGTGAAGCAAGTTCAGTTAATCTTTAAACTTTGCAAAGATGGGTTTCTTTTACGAAAGCTTTACCGAAGTGACTTTATGGTTTCATGCAGGTAATGTTCATGCAAGGCCTGGAGATGCTGAAGATTTTCAAAAGCCAAGTTTTGGATACTTCTTTACTTGATGACTTCACCTACTATGAGAACCGGCAGAGAATCATGCAAGAAGAAAAAACCAGGTTTGCAGTTAAGAGGTTTGGAACTCCATTCCTAGCAGCTGCATTGGATCCCACTCCCAAACTCAATAGTCGAGTTGGGATTCCCTCAACTAAATACGAGAAAGCAGCTGTTCAGGAGACCCAGGCATCATCTGGCACAGCAAGAATCACTTCTATATCCGAACCCCCCACCAGATGTGAGCCTCCTGACCGTGCAGTTGCTGAGATAGACAACAATGTAGTAGCAGCTACCACTCTGAAGATTGACTCGCTCAATATAAACCCGAGGCGGTCTCAGTCCATGGCGAGCCCCGATCCAGCTGGAACAGCTACTGGCAGCAACGCTGCTAATGTTGTCACTGTAGGAACGGTCCCAGTCAAAGTCAATGGATTTGTTGAATCTTCTGGGGTTTTAACTTTTGGCACAATTCCACTGGATTCGAGGGCTTTGCAGAGCGGGAAAGGAGTTGGCGGTGGTGGTTCAGCGAAAAGTGCACGCTAAACAGCTAGCTGGGTTTGATTGATTTTGAGGTGGCCAGGCAGGAACAGTATTTTGGCGGGGTAAAGGGTTTTACAATTTTTTTTGCACGGCGGGAATTGCTGTATACTTCAGAGTTGCAAGTACAGGCTGCTTAGCGTGCACTTATCAAGCATTTCGCTGCTTTTCTTTTTTCCTGGAGTAGTGGGAAGTACAGGCTGCGGGCGTATGGTTTTACCGCGGTTATCAAGCATTTCGCTGCTTTTCTTTTTTCCTGGTTAGTGGTTACATTATGGTTGTTTTTGCCTCGCCCAAAAGCGATGAAAGTCACTTTGTAATCTGGCTTTTCTCATGAAATATAATAAATTACAAAAGAAAGTGAAGGATGTGTATTGACAGATATAAGATAATGTGCATACGGTCCTAATGGTCCTTGGTTTTAAATAGGTAAGATTAAGAGGTTTTTTGGATTTTGTTCAAACTCTATTGTTTGGTAGAAAGTGTAAATTTGGATAACAATAAACAATTTAGAAAATTTATTTTTTGGGTAACGGATCTGCCCATGAAATTTTTTAAAAAATGTAATCTGTTGGGCCTATAAGAAATACACGTAGCCCGTGAGCCCAAAAGAGCATCGAAGGCCCATGAAAGAATGAATAAGGCCCAAGTCATGGACAAGGGGCAAAAGCGGTCTCTATAGGCTACGCGGCGAGACCGCCCGACATTTGGGAAGGGCAGTGCCAAGAGACCGCCCAGCACTCTGGCTTCGCGATACGGAACCTGACAGGGTGACGTTAGCAACGTCAGAGGCGTCCTAAACCGCCCGACATGCATTAAATGCGCACAGCCGAGCCGAGACTAGTATAAATACCCACTGAATGGACACATTTATGGTAACTCTGATCTACTCAATTCTCTCTCTTATTTACTCCACATCCACTTCTCTCTCTAACTTAGGCATCGGAGGAGGTCCCAGGGAACCCCCTGAGGACCTTTCTTGCAGGACTTCGAGGGACGCCTCTCATCATCAGGACCGCACGAAGGCAGTGTAGCTTCACAAAACCGCCTGGTACGCTCCAGGCCTAAACATTTTGGCGCCCACCGTGGGACACACGACTTCGTCGCCAGGAAAGGATGGGAGACGACTTCGAAACCCCTCTCAAAGGAATGGCCGAGAACAACACCCTCCGAGGTCTATCGCCGAGAGCGGAAGATGAATCCGAGCTCGAGGAGGTCGTCAAAAGTCAAGGCTTGCAGATCGCAAGCATGCAAGACAGTCTGTCGCAAATCCTCCAACTGTTGAAGAGAAAGGAAGACCCTCCCGAGGGATCGAGGGCGAGGACGCGAGAGGAGAAGCAGAAGACCGCCGTGTTCCTCGACAGCCCTGCTCGGACAGAAGGCGGAGGACCGGAGGCAGAAGACGCAGATCTTGGGTTTCTCGAAGAACATTTGAGGTCAACCTACGGGAAGCACAAGAGCCCAAACGTTCTCCAAAACCCACTCTCCAAAGAGCTGTTCAAGACCCCATTACCACCAAACTTCTCGTCCCTCGGGCTACCTACGTACAGCGGGACTTCAGATCCCGCGGACCACCTGTGCGCCTTCATGCTAAAGATGCAACTCATAAATGCCTCGGACCCCGATTTGTGCCGAGCGTTCCCCGTTACCTTCAGCGGTCAGTGCCGGACATGGTACACCTCCCTCCCAGAAGGGGTGATAGAAAACTTTGAACAATTTGCGATGCTTTTCTCCACGAAGTTCGCGTCACAACAACGTCGCAAACTCACCGTTTCGGCACTCATAAATTGTAGGCAGAAGAAGGAAGAGTCGCTAGTGGAATTCTACGACCGGTGGAATGCCATCGCTTGCGAAATAGACGGCATCTCCTCGGTCGTAGCCGCTGGCAACCTCAGGATATCCACAACCAGCGTCGAGCTTAAAAGAGCCTTGATAAAAAAAGAGACCATGCTAACGTCATGGTCAGACTTGGATCAATTGGTGCGACGTGCCATCTTGCTCGAAGAAGCAATGGCTACCGATGACAGAAGCCACCAGGGACGCCCCCGAAATGACCATCAAGAGCGCGCAGACGCTTGCCGCGGCAGGCGCTCCCCCGAGCGAAAGGCGTACCGCAACCAGTACGTGGAACGCGACGGCAAACGGGAGGTGTACTCCACCTATCGAGAAAGAGGAAGAGAAAGACGAAGAGGTGGGAGGAAACTCGAGGTATCCTCTGGCCAAGAATCGCAAGAAGGGAAGAAGTGGTGCGACTAGCACCAGATGGCCACTCATTACACCACAGAGTGTAGAGAGTTCAAAGCGAGCCTGAAATACTTAGCTTCGGGAGACCTGCGCAACCGCCTTGAGACGCGGCGCCCTCACCGCGATCCCTCCCCAGAAATGCCCGAGGACTCTCACAGCCCCGAAAGGGACAAGACGAGGCGGTCTCGCAAAGAACGGTCAAGGTCACCCACAAGGAACAAGGCCATCTCACCTCAAAGGCAGTCTCCTGCCTACCGACCTCCCCGTGGAGATGACGATGGAATGGAGGTCATCACTATAGCAGGGGGCAGAAAGCGTCCCAGATCCGAGGCAGACCGCCTGAGCCACTGCCTCAGCGTCCAACGCAGAGTGCCCACCGAGGTCACTTTCCAACCATCAGAATTGGCTAAAGTGGAGAACTCGGAAGACCCCTTAGTCATCTCCTTCAACACTGATAAATTCAAGATCACACGAGCACTTGTTGACAACGAGAGCTCCGCCGACATTCTCTTCTACTCGGCACTCAGGGGCATGAAGAAAAATGTCCAAGATCTCAACCCGTCCAACACCAGTTTGGTAGGGTTCTCGGGGACGAAGGTTCGCGTCCTCGGGTCCATCACCCTCAAAGTCACCATAGGAGAAGGTGGAATCACCAAAACCAAGCTGGTAGAGTTTCATGTGGCAGACTGTCCTTCAGCGTATAACGCCATTTCGGGGCGCGGTGATGACTCGATATTTGCACATGTTTTCCCCTTTGTTTCTTGATCGTTTAAGCTTGCATTATCACTTCTTTGGCCTATTTTACGCTAGGTTGTTTTCCTTTGTCACATTTCAGGCCCTAGCACATAAAGTGAAGCGTAGGCGCAAGTTTCAAGTCAATCGGAGATCATTTGGCAATTCGGGAGAAGAAACACGAGCATGACCTAAGGAATAATGGATTTCTACCTCATATAATGGACAAAGAATCATGAAAGTTTGTTATGAAAAGAAAGAGGACGAGACTACGAGCGTCTGGGTTCAAACGGCGACTGATTTGGAGTCCGGACGAGGGAGAAACGAAGCTTTGAACAGGAGCGGAGGAAGAATTACGGGCAGGATAATTACGACCATAATTTCCCCTCCCATGCCCGTATTTTCACTGCCGAGAGGAGCTTTGGGTGCGCTGAAACTTAACCAAAACGCGTGTTTTGGGCAAAATACGAGCATGGAAGAATTACGACCGTAATTCAGCCCGTAATTCGCCCAGAATCGGGTTTTTGAGGCAGATTAGAGCCAAAGGAAAGGGAGAGCTGGGGTTTTGGTTCCCAAACACCCAAGGGACGAACCCTAGAGAGAGAGAGCGACTAGGGAACATTCTTGGAGCTATTTTGGAGGATTTCTTCGCCATTGGAGCTCGGGAATCAAGCTTGGAGATGGAGATTGAAGATCTAGATCAGATTTCTGCAGTCTCTCTCTTCTCTATGGAGTAACTTCCCTTCACTTAGGTTTTGAGGAACCCTAGTTCCATGAGTTAGGATCTTTCTTGTATGAAGTTTTGGATGCTATATTGTTTGATTATAATCGAATGATGCATGTTTATTGAGTCAATTGAAGTCTGATCAACTTTTCCTGATTCCTGCTGCAATCTGAGATAGATAGAATCTGATTAGGTTGCTAGAGTCTCATCATTCGGTAGTAGGAGATTGGCTATACGAGAGTTAGCCAGTTTACTGCTTTGTACTGGAATCCAATTCCAGTAGTGGAGTTCTGTGCTTATTGCTTCAGCTTTCTATCCCGGTGAAGACTAGTCGTCTGCCGGATAGTTAGACTGAGAGGGCTTGGTCAGCTTAAGAGATTCCAAGCCTCTACTTGTCACCAAATGCTAAAGTTCCCTAGCGGAGGTCAGACGGGACGCGTACGAGGCAACGCAAAGGAAGCGCAAGAATGCTACCAGGCGACCATCGAACGTCTCGAAGTATACCTCGTCGATACAAGGATATTTTGGTGGTTCGGGAAATCTCCCACCACTTGTAATCATGTAAAGGATGCCACCCGGTGACCACTTTTGCTTAGGATCATTTTAGTGGTTAAGGAGCACTCCTTCCACTCGCAACCGTGTATTGGTCGCTACCAAGTGACCGCCTTTTGCTTCAAAGTAATACACTTGCATTTTCTCTCGGCCAATGAACAACCTCCAACTCACGTTCCTTTAAGCAAAACACACATGGAGGCACCGTAAACACTTTATACAGATCTGTGTCCCCAAGCACACGTTCCGACGCCAAACACAAACGAGTAGTCATTAATACTCCGCGCAAAGCGGTCGATAAAGCGAAGCAATCAAACCAGCAAAGTTAAACAACACAGTCGATTTCACTAAGAGCAACACATTCGCCATGACAAGTACACGTGTCAACCACAAATCGGCGAACGACAGGGGCACCCTCTCAGCAGGCGACCCTAGCGAGTAACCAACAGATACCTCCGCCAATCGCTACAATAAAGCCACATAACGCAAAGATGTTGTCGTAAAATATGGGGTCAAGAGGCAACCCACGGGCGTCACTCGACACCCAGCGGTCTTCCTCCTGCTAGACAAACAAAATTATTCGTAAACATAAACCCGCCTCAACGCGGTTTATCGAATCCGATTTTCCAACAAAGGAAACAAAAGCCCGCCATACGCGGTCACGACAACATGTTCACATACCTACAAGTTTCTATCCAGAAAATGTCTTAAACACTCGAACCTTGACAACAGGAAATTAATTGTTTCTAGAAAGATAAGGATGAAGTCAAATTCCCGGAGACCCCCCGCTCTCGGCATCGCCCCCTTCAGTGGCTTCTTCCTCCCCCTCAGATTCATCCGCTTCCGAGTTTACGTCTGAAGCATACCAGTGCCCAACCGCATCCCACACGTGGTCGGCATCCCAACCTATGTCAGGGCAATCCTCGCGAAACAAATGACGGATGGCGGCCACCACGTTGCCAACCACCGTCTTATACTTCGCCTTATCCTGAGCTAAAAACTCTGTAGATTGCAGATAGGCAGGACCGGCTTCAGTTCGGGCGGCGGCCACCTCCGCCTCACGAGTCGCAAGCAAAGACACCTTCTCCAGCTTTAGTTCCTCCACCTCCTTACGCAAGGCGTCCTGCTCCTCCAGCAGCGTCTTCTCAATTTTCCGTGACTTTAGCAGCTCTTCTTGGAGGCGGTCTCTCTCCTCGCGGATCGCCTTAGAAGCTTCCCTCTCATCCAATAGGGCCTTCTCCTTCTGAGCCAACCACTCCTCGAAGCTCTTCTCCATCTGGGGACGCAACTCCTCCATCAAGGCCGCCCTCCCTTCCTCCGCACTTTTCTTGAGGTTAGCTATCTCCACCGTGTTGTCATCCACGGTCTTTGAGAGGCGGTCATTCAAGAGTATGATATGGGAAAACCCAATCTGTGCCTACAAAGCGAACAAACAATGAGTTAGAAAATGCACGTAACATTAAAGTAACAGAAGGGAGTACAGGATACGAACCCCAAAGAAAAGTTGTGAAGCGGTCTCGGCCAGTCGACGGTTGCTTCCCTGAGAAGAGGTTGTATACTCATTCGGCATCACCAACTGGTCGCTAATGGTGTGGAATGCGAGTTCAGCCGCCTCGGTATCGGTGGTAGCCAGCGGGGGAACATCCACAAGACTTGGTCTTTCAGACCGCTTTGCACCCTTCGACGGGGAAGGCACAAACCTTGGCACGCTTCGGTGCAACTTCGGCGGTCTCTGGTGGCAATAGTCTCTTTCCCGCCCCTCGCGGCGTTGCGGTAGACACACCACCCGCCGCTCGGGGTGGATCAACGCTGGGATGAGTGGGGGAGGTCGCCGGCTGATCTGTCGAGGCAGCCACAGCCGCCGCAGACGCGCTCCCTCCGCGAGCGGTCTTTACCAACTTCTTCCTCCGCGGCCTATTTGCATCCGCCAACTCCCTCAGGCCTGGAGAAAGAAAGCATACGTAAATACATGAGAAAGATAAGCGAAAAAACTGAGGAAGTACGCTACTAACCGTAAAAACCGCGAACAAGCTGATAGGCGCTGTCAGAACCGCTATGTTTGACACGCAGCTGAACCACCTCTACAACACGGTCTACATGGTCAATCACAGACTGAGGAAACTGACTAGACTCACACCAGTCGTCCTTCGAGCCTACCGCATACCCAGTGGGCAGCTCAGAATCCCCCGCGTACCACTTCCAAGACGGCTTGGCAAAGAAATACTCTCGGTACCAGGGAGAGTCCAACTTGGGCGCCCCGGTAACAAACCCGACCGCATTCTCGCGTCTCCCAATCGACCAACAGTTGGACGAATCTCTGATGTTATAGATTAGTCAGAACGCATCAAAAGACGGGTCTTCCTTGATGCGGTCGCAGGCCAGACGATACATCACCGAATGGAAAACTATCGTCAGAGAAAGCCGTCCTAGAGTACAGTTGAGCCAATGCAACGTCTTGGTCAAAATTGGGTCGAGTGGAAACCGCAGACCCAGCTTGACATGCTCCACCAGAATCGGAATCCAACCGCTGGGGCAAGATCCGGAGCGGCTGGTCTTAGAAGGAACCGCATACTGCCATTCGGGGGGGCATGCGCAGCGCCTTCAGACGATGTAGAACTTGCTCTGGCCTGAAAACCGCCCCGGAATTCTTAGGACCCTGCTCGAACACTTGAGAGGGGATAGGCTCTCCTTCCCACATTCCCGCATGATGCAAAACGGTGTACACCAAGTCGTGGATCGCTACCGGGAGCGGTCTTACACCGCCTGATTCGGACACCTCCAAAGAAGAGGAAGTGCTAAGAGACGCCTCCGAGCGCTCAACACCGCTACTTACCTCGCCACCCTCCTCCAAAGAAATACTATCTAACCCTACCCGGTAAAATTCACCCAGGTTATCCCCCACAGCTGCTGACGTGGCCATAACCCCAACTGGTACAGGGCGCATGTTAGAATAATCGTTATCCAAGTCCACACAATCCCCGACTAAACAATCGTCTAATTCAGAGCCATTTCCAACGTATAATTCTAACCCAGACAAATCCCACACACACCCAGATGGGTTTCGAACGGGTGAAAAGCGGTTCGTACCTTGAGAAGTGAAGGTAGTCACGACAGCACTCGCGGGTTTCTTCCCCATCGCCGGGACCGCCTGAGGCGCACCAGAACTCGAGGGCTCCCTCTCGAGAACAATGACAGGGGGTGACTCGGCAGCAGGGGGGCTCCCCATCGCGGCGGCGCCGCGCATGTCAGCTCCGGACGATGAAGGCGGAGCTCCTCCAGACATCTGCGGCGAGAAAGAAGACAACAATCGTCGATGGCGGCGCGATCCAAAGAAACGAGAAGGGCAGCCGTTCACAAAGGCGAAGGAATATCAAGGGTTAAGAAAAACAACCCGCACCGCTCAACAAAAGAAAGGTTGAAAACCATACCTGGCTCGTCGATCGAATTTTATAAGGGTCGGCGGCGACAAGCTCTGTACACCCACAGGGAGAAAGGAGCGAAGAAGAAGACGAACAGTTTCCAAAACAAGGAAGAGTTTTGGCGGAAAAAATCTCCTCCCTAAGCACTTAAAGCGAAAAAGAGGGAAGTTCAAAATCCCGAAGTGACACATCTCGAGCCCCGAGGCTCAGAAATGACGTTTTGCCTCCTGGTGTCAGGGCTCCGCGCCCGAGAAATGACGCGTGGCGACTAACAATGAGGCCGGAAGCCGCCACGGATCGCCCCCTTAGGCGCACGCCGCTTCAGGTCTTCACAACTAGGGGCAAATAGGTAGTTATGTGTAGCACGGCCAAAGGACGCTTGGGTACGGCCTCGTAGCTCCATGGGCGTCACGGTCAACACACTCTCAACGATCATGAAGTAAGTCAGTTAGACGCAAAAACCTAAAACTTCCCACGCCTAAGGGGAAAATGTTGGGCCTATTAGAAATACACGCAGCCCGTGAGCCAAAAAGAGCATCGAAGGCCCATGAAAGAATGAATAAGGCCCAAGTCATGGACAAGGGGCAAAAGCGGTCTCTATAGGCTACGCGGCGAGACCGCTCGACATTTGGGAAGGGCGGTGCCAAGAGACCGCCCGACACTCTGGCTTCGCGGTACGGAACCTGATAGGGAGACGTTAGCAACGCCAGAGGCGTCCTAAACCGCCTGACATGCATTAAATGCGCACAACCGAGCCGAGACTAGTATAAATACCCACTGAATGGACACATTTATGGTAACTCTGATCTACTCAATTCTCTCTCTTATTTACTCCACATCCACTGCTCTCTCTAACTTAGGCATCAGAGGAGGTCCCAGGGAGCCCCCTGAGGACCTTTCTTGCAGGACTTCGAAACTCATGGGAAGCATCTAACAACATCTCCAACAATGCAATTTTTCTGCAATTTCAATTATGGTTGCTACCTATCTCATCTTACAAAATATTAAAGGGCTTTCATATTAGACCCCATGCCACCTAATCCATTATGAAACCTGAACGTGCCACGTCATCCACCCTATTTTTCCTTCCGCCACACTTATTCCGGCCCTCCATTCTTATATTCGGCCCTCCATTCTTATATTCTAACTTTCGCTACCAAAACCTATCCCAACCTTCACACTTCAAATTAACCGAGAGCGGTTTTGGAGGGGTCGTTCAAATTGTTCGCCCTCGGCGCGGTGGGTGGCGGCACAGTAGCGATCTGCAGAACGACGGTAACGAAGCCACAGTAGAGTGTCTTCCATATTCAGTCGGTTATTCGACAATGCGGCGACAAAGGCAAGAGGAAGGAATTGCGATTCGGAGAAATGAAATCAATCGATGGAGATACTTTTATAGAAAAGGTTTCCCGACGAATCATTTTCTTATGGAAATACTCTCATTGAAATCAGAGGTATCGATGTACAAAACAGAGGACGTAGCGTTGTTGCAAGATGCCAGGAGAAATACATGACTTGGGTTACAGCGGATGCCGCCGGGACTCAGATCATGAACTGCTATTTTTTTGAAATTCACGACGCATTGGATTCTGGTTCAAGCGGTAAGGAGACGATATGGCATGCAAATGCAACCACAATGTCGTCAAGGAGACGGTGATTTTCTCCTCGGGGTTCTGTTGAGAGGCAAAGGGAACATTCTGAGAGACGTTTACGCACACTTACATAGGAGTGGATCTTTGTCGGGATCGTTATTGGGTTGCAAGCTTTTAAATCCCTTTCCTTTTGTTTGGTTCCCCATCAAATGAAGAAAAAAAAATTCGATATCTTTTTCCCAACTCGCCAAATATAGGTTACTCGATAGCTTATTTCAACCTCTAAAGTAGAGTGCAAGCATGCTGATTTCCTTTTTTCCATTGGCCTTTATCACAATCAGTGTAGATCATATTGTTGTCTTAGTTTGCAGACCACAAACACAAATTATGAGATTATGGCTTGCTGTTATTTTCAAATTACGATGTGCAATAATCTTAGTGGGTTCCTACTCAGGTAATTGTAAAAGGTTTTCTTTGGTAATTCTAGATTTCAATCTATACAAAATATTTTCTAAAATTTAGATTGACTGATCTAAATTTGTATGCTTTACAATTTTATTATTCAGATTGCAAAAAGAACAATGTTCTATAATATTCTATAAATCTTTGGTGTATATTGCACATCGTAATTTTGAATGTTTTAGATAAGGGTTAGTTCAAACATAATAATTTGTATCATTTATATTTATGAGTGATCGTCAGATAGTCTCAAACTATATGCAAAAAATAGTGCTCATCTTAAAAACTAACTAAATAATTAAATAGAACTTACCCGACCGACGGGCCGGGAACAAAGCTAGTTGTTACTTAAAACAATTTATTAGTTAACTCACTCCTCATTTTCATACTCTCACGTAGTGCAATTGTAATTGTGAGTCCGATACAAATATAATAAGGGTAAATGTCACATTTGGTCACTGTGATTACTAAATCGTGTTCTGTTTAGTCACTAGAAAAAATTAAAATAAATTTTGGTCACTCGAATTACTAAAATAGGTCACATTTAGTCGCTCTCCCATTAGCCTCCGTCCAACTCCGGTCACTCGAATTACTTTTTTTATGCATGTCGCTCTAATTAATGAAATATGTCACATTTAGTCACTCTCCCGTTAGTGAATGTGTTATTATTAAATTATTATATTGGGCATTTGGTTATTGAGGTTACTAAATCATGTCATGTTTAATTACTAGAAAAAATTAATATCAATTTTGGTCTCTCTAATTACTGAAACGTGTCACATTTAGTCATTCTTCCGTTAGTTTCCGTCCAACTCCATTATAACTAACATGACATGATTTAGTAACCTCAATAACCAAATGTCCAATATAATCTACTATACTTATAATACGCTGAAGGGGAAAACAGCTTCCCCATTTCAAATTTGCTGCCTCCGGAGCGTTTCTCGGAGGGGTAGTTTCGGAAATGAAAAATTACACAGCCCCTCTCGTGTGGCTGAACGGGCCCACTGGCCCACGAAGAGTCAGAGTCATCGTCGACTCTCCTTCCAATCTCGCCGCTTCTGCTTCCACCGCAGGCGTGCATAACCAACTTCATCCAC